GACACGGCGAGGGCCGAGTCTAGGGGCGCTTGCGCTGCGACAAGAAAAAACCAGAACCCATGTCTACGAACAAAAAGAAACAACGGAGTCGGCGCGCCGTCTCCGATCCCCCTCTCACACCCCAGGGAGCAAGGCCGCCCCGCGAGGGCGGGGAGGGCCGCGCCCTCATGTTTCACCGTGTTTCACCATGGCAACATCTGAGTTGCTGTGTTCCCGCCCTTCGGTCTCGAGGTTGGCCACAGGGCAATGTTGCGTGCGAGAGTGCGGCCGCGCTGGGGCGCCCATGCGGAAACGAAAAGGCGAGAAGCCAACAATCATCAGTTTCCTTTCTAGGTGTTTGAATGAGTTTGGTTTCTTGGAGGCCTCCTTGGGCTATCTGGCATCATGGAGCCGTCTTGGTGGCCCCTCACCGGAGGGGAAGAAGGAGGTTGGAAGATGAAATGCCCTAAACCACCCACGCCCAGAGGGCGGGTGGGATTAGAAGGATGCGGCCCATCGGGGCGCATTTCGTTCCAGGTTTTCAACGAAGCCTGCGGCTGGGCAGCGCGGGCCTGGGAGTTACTACGCGTGTTGCTTGTGTGCGATCGAGAAAAGTAGCTTGATCCCCCAGGGAATGTGGCAGCAACCATGTAATCCAGTGCGGGGCATATGTAGGAATATGAATAAAAATCTGCGCCTGCGGCGGGTGTCCTGCAGCAGGAGCAGGCGCGCGAACAACTGCATGGGCCATCTGCGAATCGAGTGTACTATGTGTATATATGTGTGTATGTATGTGTGTAAGTATGTATGTATGTATGTATGTATGTATGTATGTATGTATGTATGTATGTATGTATGTATGTATGTGTGTGTATGTATGTATGTATGTATGTATGTATGTATGTATATAAGAATAGAGAAGGAATATCGGAGGGGCGCTCTCATCCGTCCCCATGCCCACATCCATGGCGGCCCCTGCAAAACGGCGAGCGCCTCGGCGCCTGGCCGCCTTCGCCGAATTAGGACCATTGCAGGCGCGATCAAACCGTGAGCGCATGAGTTTAGCCCGAGGAGTAGGAGGACGTGCCCGAGGACTCGGGCCGACTCGGGGACTCGTGCGCACGTGATAACTAATATGCGCGGTTTCCTGGGCATGCGCCTTTTCCGCACACGTGGAGCCACCCGGTGTGTACAGGCTGTCAAAAAAGGTGCAGTGCCACGGGTAAGGCGCACATAACACTGAAGGGGAAAGACCCGCTCGGTGTGTTCTGGACTTCGAGAGCGTGTCCTTACCCTGCGGCGCTCTGCAAAGATCTCGCAGCGCTGGTGGTGGCCAAGGCCAAGACACTGGATGGCAGTGGGTAGGGGCTCAGAGTCTTGAATGCCGCTCGCTCAGTCTGTTCAGGTCAGCGCCCTCGTGCTGCCCTGTCACCGCCTGCCGCTCGTTCTCTTGAATTGCTTCGAAGCAGCGGAGCATGCCGAAGGAAAATTGATCTTGGCACGGGTAGCAGCCTAAGCTCATGCGTTGTGCTTGCACATTAATGATCTCTTGCTGCGTTCAGTGCCGTATGTCGCTACTTATGCTCAAGTTTTTCCAGGACCCGCCTGCCGTCCCCATCTTCCACCTTCCTGGGCGTCACTTCGCCAACCCAGGGGGCTCAGAGTCTTGAATGCCGCTCGCTCAGTCTGTTCAGGTCAGCGCCCTCGTGCTGCCCTGTCACCGCCTGCCGCTCGTTCTCTTGAATTGCTTCGAAGCAGCGGAGCATGCCGAAGGAAAATTGATCTTGGCACGGGTAGCAGCCTAAGCTCATATATATATATATATATATATATATATATATATATATATATATATATATATATATATATATATATATAGCTATGTGTATTCATCTAGCTACACTAATCTAGATATACACACCAGCACATACATATATGCATAATGGACATCTACATGTCTAACTACACATCAACATTTACATATACATACAGATACGCACATGAGCATATCTAAATATACAGTTAGACATACACATTTGTGTATACATACATGTGGATTTCGAGTGTCACATATGGATACGTGTGTGTTCATATACACACATATATGTATGAACCGAAATATACGTATATCTGTCTACGAGTATGTATATACAATTGCGTATGTATAGCTATCTAGATGTAGGTAATTCGAAATCTCTCGATATTTTCATACACCGATCTATCGATCTCTATGTATGTATTTAAATGTAAACATCTATGATCTCTGCGTTGGCCTGGATGGGGGGGGGGGGGCGGACTGCGGCCCTGGGTACGCATGGGGTCCCTTGCAGGCCCAGAGAGCTCCCGAACATGTGAAAACGATCCCAGACTGGCCTAATTATGCCCTACATTGCGTCTGGGGCGCTTTGGCGCCACCGAAAATGCGCCCAGACCGTCCCAAGACGCGCCAAGAGTCCCCCCAGAGGCCTCCAAGGAGCTCCCCGCCAAAGGGCCCCAGGAAAAAAACATCATCAAATTCCTCATGAAAATGTACATGTTCAGCATCTTCGCTTCTCTGCTTTTTAGCAGCGTCTCAGACGGTCCAAGAGTCGCCCTAGGAGGTTCCATTACCGCTTCCGAGGCACCAAACACGGCCCAAGAGGACACCAATATTGTCCAAGAGGATGCCGCGACAAGATGTGGGGCACTCTCTGGGGGGGGCGGCTCCCAACATGCCCCCGACGCGTCCAAGACGCCTCCAGGACGCTCCTCAGAGGCCCCCAGAGGCTCCCGAGAGACCTCGAAAACGCCCGACGTATTCCCCAAGAGACCCCAAAGGCTCCCTAAATTCTCCCAGAAGCCTCCCAGGAGGCCTCCCAATAGGCCCCCAGAAGCGTTTGGGAAGTCTCGCTTCCACGTCCTGCACGGCGAGTCTAAAGAGGCTTCAAGAGGTGCCCAATTCACGATCCATTTCAGGGCTTCAAGAAGGGGCCCTTCAGAAACACGCCCAGACAGGCACCCAAGACGCCCCGAACTCACGATCCAGGTCATGGGTGTGTCGCCATGGGCGGGACGTCGGGATGCGAGCCTTGGCTCTGGGGCTGTCGGTTGAGCTCCCTGTGGGGTACGATCCGTGTGAGGAGATAGTCAACATACACAGTTCTGATTCGAAATCTCGATTCGAAGCTGACCGCTCCTGCCTCACATTGACCCCCCCGTCCAATCACCCGAACAGCTCATGGAGGCCCATCCGTTTCGCAGCGTGTCGCCTTCTCCTAGACAGGCTTAGGGCACAAAGAATTCGCTCCAGAGCGTTCCAGAACGCTCCCAGAGCGTTCCGCAGCGTTCCGGAACGGCCGCGACGCCCGATACAACCTTTTAAGCACGCAAGGTCTCAGAGATTTGTGATGCAGTTCGCTATAATCATGGCTTCGTTGGCTTTGTCGTATTTTCAGTAGCAGTGGCCATTTGGCCATTTGTTGTCTTCATCGTACTCTTCGCCGTCACCATATTCATCCCATTATTTCGAATTCCCTCCGCCGCAGCATCCTTCTTAACTCGCGCCAGGAATATCTGTGCACCCCGTATCCGCCCAGCAGTTTTCTGAGGCCCGCCAGTATCACCACCTCGTGTCTGTGCTTGTCCCTATCCTCACCGATACAAAGGGACCTCCATCCGGGATGGGAATCCCAGATGCAGTTCCGTCCTCATCCCAAAATGTGCGTTTGCACGATTTTCCTCTAAGTTTGATGTCATCCTCGTCCTGCTTCGTAGCCAGTTTGGCTTAAGACCCTTGCGAGCGAGTCTCATCGCCCGAGACCCAGCACAGACTGCCAATCGAAATCATACTCGCGGACCTTGTCTTTAAATGGCGATGAGGATTTTCCTTACTCTCTTCGCCTTGACGTGCATGACCTCTTCCCTGAAACTCCAATCTGGGGAGCTGTCTGAAAATGAATTCGCGCCCGCAATTTTGAGTAACATCTTCTCCGAGGTTGAGGGGCTGCTACAGGAGGCCGATGACGCACAGATCTTGGCTGGCGGCGAGGTGTCTCTCCTCAGCATCGATGATGCGACTGACGAGGTGCCCGCCGCAGAGGAAGCGTCGAGCCAAGCTGCAAGCATCGACCCCGAGCCTCAGGAGCAGGCTTCGGTCGCCAGCACCGGCAACGCGACCGTCGAGGCGCCCGCCGCGGAGGCTGCCCCAGACGCCCACGTCGAGCGGGCAACGGAGGACGCCAACAATTCGGGGAATTCCTCGGAGATGCAGGCCGACGAGAACCAGAGCAGGGCCAACCTGTCCACGTACTTTGACCCCAAGCTGATGGCCATATTCCGTGAGAAGCAGGCGCACTTGAAAGAAACGATGAAGGATTTCATGGTATCGAAGAAGGAGTTGGACGTGGCCAAGTTGGCCGCGAATTTGGCGATGAAGAAGCTGAGGTTGGCGACCGAGAAGCGGAGGAAGATCCTGATGGGCGAGAGGATGGCTGAGGCCGAGGAGCGTCGGGCGATCAAGGAGAACCGGCGACAGGCTAAGTCGGACATGACAGCGCGCGCGGAGCAGCTGCTGGAGGACTCTTTGGGTGGCCTCGCGGGCCTCAACATGAGCTATATGGTCGACGTCGTCCTGGCCCTGCCAGAGGCTCTGCAGGACGAGGAGTTCGTGGAGGACTTCCGCAACGTGACAAAGAGGGTGGACGTGAATGTCCGGAAGTTTCTGGACCAGACCCAGCAGAAGACCACCCAGTTCGTCAAAGACAGCACCTCCGCCTCCGACGTGGAGCTGCGCTTCATCATGGCGAAGTTCTTCCACGAGTCTGGCTTCCGTCTCCGAGGGCTCCACCAGGACAGCCTGAAGGCCATCCAGATGCTCAGGCGAACGGTGCCAGAGGACTTGGAGAGGGCGCTCTTCCCGTTTCTCGGGCAGCTGAATGCTAACACGGTCCGCCTCAGGATCAATGCAACCAGCCTGGCCACCGCCACCCCGAAGGAGGCGTGCGACCAGATTACCCAGATAATGGCTAACGTCAGCGACTACGATGCGCACCGCTTCGCGGGGGACATGGCCGGATAGGCAAACTGTCTGCTCTTCCTCTTCCTCGTCCCCTCACTTTCCCCTTTCTCGCTCTGTTGTTTCTTTATATTCGCTTGCATCGTCGACTGCCTCATCATCCTTCTATATTCCCCTCACGCTGCGTCTCTGGGATATCCGTGGATTCTAGCCCAGACACGTGAAGGCGATCATTCGCTGTAATGTTGTTGTTGTTGTTGTTGTTTCTTGTTTGCAGTATGCTGCGCAGTTCTATGCCCCCTCCCCCCGTACGGAATTCGAAGTTCTCCAGTTTCTCACAAATGACCTTTGTTCCCTCTCTTCCCTCGGCCTCATCGGTTGATGCTCTCCGACTTGACTTGGTGAGCCGCTCCGCAGCCTATCGCGTTGCCCTCTCGTCCTCTGCTTGTTCCTCTGCCCAAGCCCTCCTGGAGGCTTTGAACGGCGATGACGACTGTGTAATCTTGTATCGTCGGCACCCGTGGTATAAGAATTCGGTATACGCGAGTATCTTTTGAGCCGTGTCTCAGATCCCTGGTGCCCCCCCATTGGGCACTCGCTCGTTACAGAAAAAAACCTTTTCGATGTGTGCAAGGTGTGGCCTCTCTTTGTCCTCGTCCGACCTTTGTTGCTCGGATGCTGCACTGGCCCCCAGCCAGCCAGCGTAACTTGGACCAAAGTTTGATGGCGTGCTGGAGGATGGCCTCGCAAGTTCCGAGAGGTGTTATGGCCTCTGCACTTCGGACCTCCATGGCGCTTGGTCCACTTCTGGCGGATTTCGGGGTCGCGCGAAGTCTTACCTATTTTGCCACAGCGCTTTAGCTGGTGGCACCCTCTTGCACATTCTTGAGTGTCCTATCGATGAGTTCCGCTCCTTCCGCGCCTCCCTCCTGCCTTCATCGCCTCCTCCGATGGTCGAATGTTCCAGCGCCTTTCTGGGTTAAGTTGCCAGAGTTTTCCCTCGGCTGCACCAGAATTCCATTGTGCTCGCTTGAGGGTCTCTCTCAGAAGAGGCCCTCTGCATGGTACCTCCCGTGGCAGACCGCCACGGTGGCAATGGTCAGATGTGGGCTTGCACCGCGATTCCTAAACCCTACTACGGCAGTATGTTGGCCCTCCAGGGTCTTAGACACCTTCTTCGAGGCTTGCTGGCGGTTCCAAACCGTTTCGGGCAAGGGCCGACAGGTCAGCTCGGACTCCCCCTTGGGACCTCTTCGAGGCCTCCCGCGCACTCTTGGGAGGCCTTTGAGCTGTCTCGGGGCCCTCTGGGGCAATCCTGGCCTGTCTCAGCATCGTCGTGGGAGCCTCTTCGGTATCTTGGGCAATCCGGGCCTCTTCGAACCTCGTGGGAGTCTCTTGGAGTCCTGTGGGGCTCCTGAGACGAGTGTAAAAGTCCTCAAGCCTGGTTCCAGAAGTTCCAGCATCTGTGAGGACACCTGCCCTAGGCACTTTTCGCCCGCGGACCCCCAGAGGGCTGCGTGCGCACGTGCGTACACCCTCGCGCACGCCGTCAACCCGTCTCTCCGCGCCTCCTGCTCAATCTTCCTCCCCAGCCTTCACCCTCCTCGCCCGCGTCTCTTCATCCACCCTCCCTCGTAACACTCCCCTCCGTCACTATCCCCTCCTGCCGTCCCCACCTGAACCATCGACATGGACCTTCCTCTCCTCCCACTCATCTGCCCTCCTCCTCGTCACCCCTACTCCTCGCCCTCATCATCCTCGTCGTCCTCATCTTCCTCCTCTCCTTCATCGTCCGCATGGTGCCACCCCCCCACTCAGGATACCCATTAACACAACTAGTGATCCGTGTTGCAAAAACTGATGGCCTCCGTATTTGCCCATATCGGCCCAAGCCGACAGCGAGAGCAGTAACATCCAACACCATATTTCGATGCCGAACCGACCGAAGGTCCTCTTCTGCACGACACACCCTAGGCACCAATTCACTAGACGGGTACATTGTTGGAAGTGCCGCAGCTTGCAGGATGGATTACGTCAAGGGGGTCAGCTTGGTGGTGCTGCCGTCGGGACGACAAAGGCGTGGTACGGCGTCAACAACGGCAAGTGGAGGGCCCTGCGAAACAACTACCGCTCGTGGAAGATCACCACCCGTCTCCCAACACCTGTTGGCGAAGCTCCACGAGAGACGAAAACAACGTGCACCACAACCACTACTTCGCAAAACCATATTGCCAGGGTGGGTTTTGGCGGCCGCAGACGTCGACCAGGCCATCCGCAGAGTGAGCGACACACGCTTCGGCAAACCCGACCGCTTCGAAAACCGGGTGAGTGTGGAAATCCTTGGGGCCGTGCGGCGGGTCAGAGATCCGAGCGCGCAGGTTGCCGTATGTATCGGTGTCCGGTACCGGCAGAGCCCGCGGGCCTCGCAGCGCACCTCGGGGCCGGCCTGGAGTCGGACCCGATACTGGCCCAGCCTGGCACCTGGGTCAAGTCAGCGGCCGCTTGCCTGGCCGAGAAATTTCCCCGGCCGCGGCCCCAGCAGTACCTCCGCATCTGCTTCGCGACCTCGCTCCCCAGCGCCGCCCAGTCGGACGCGCGGGCGGCGGGCGGCGCGCGCAGCAGAGGCGGCCGACAGGCCGATGGTCAGCTGCTTGACGGAGAGGCCAGTCTGGCAGTAGTTCCGGAGACACCGATTTGCGTGGGTCAAAGCAGCCCCGATGTCAGCTGAGCTGGCGGTCACTTCCCGCGCCCGCCCCAGAGTTCAGGCTGGTGATTTTTTGGCCGAGGCCGCCGCGGGCATGAAGCCGAAGCACAGCCCGCCATAGCCCGCCCTCCATAAACTACAAGGAACAGACGGAGAAGCACGAATACAGCTAGATCGTCTCCCAGATGACCTTCCGAGCGGCCGCGGCCGCCGCGAAGGTGCACGCCGACGCCCGCTGAGGGCAGCTACGGCGCGTAGACTTTGACCGCGGGGGGGGGGGGGGACGCGCGACGCCCACGTTGGAGAAAACAGTTTCCGCGCGCTGGCTGGCTGGCTGGTCCCGAGCTCAAAAACGAAACCGTCGACGTGACTCAAAATTGAGTTTGCCTGTTGTCTGGCTGTGCGGCCCTGGACATGCTCATTCCTCACGAAAGCCCACGCCCGCGACAGCCCTTCGGCGCCCGCCTGCCCAGAGGGCGCCAGTCGCCCCCCATCCTGGGCCCCGGGCGAAAAAAACAGCCGTCGACGTGAACCAGAAATTGGTTCAGCCCGCTGGGTGGCTCTGAGCCCCTGGACATGCTCGTTCCTTACGAAAGCCCAAACCCGCGACGGCCCTTCGGCGCTGGCCTGCCCAGAGGGCGCCGGGCGCCCCCCATCCTGGGCACCGGCAGAAAAAACACAGCCGTCGACGCGAGCCAAAAATAGGTTCGGCCTGTTGGGTGGCTCTTCGCCTCCGGACATACTTACTCCTTGTGAAAAACCACGCCCATGTAGGCCCCGCGGCGCAAGCCGGTCGGAGCACGCCCAACGTCCCTCACCCTGGCACCAAGAATTCAAAATAGAACGTCGACGTCAAGCAAAAAATTGCGCGGCCCTTAGGGTGCCCCCGCGCTTTTGGACGTGGTCAATCCTCACGAAAGCCCGCGCCCACGTTAGCTCCGCGGCGGAGGCCTGCCCAGGGACGCCCAACATCCCCCACCCTGGCCCGCTTGCAGAAAAGTGGCCGTCGACGTGAACCAACAAATCGGTTCGACCCGTCGGGTGGGTTTTCTCTTGTCGGCATGCCCTCCTGGGCCCCGCGGCACGAGCCGCCAGGGCGCCCCGCCAGCGCGACCAGGGCCCCATCTCCACCACGGCCGCCAGCACGACCGCCAGCACGATCGCCGGCACGACCGTGGGCGCGACTTTTAGCACGACCACCAGCACGACAACGAGCACGACAACCATAACGAAAACCAGCCAAACCGACGGAGCGAACACCAGCACGACCACCAGCCAGACCGCCAGCACCAGCATCAGCACCAGCACGTTCGCCCGCACGACCACGGCGGGTCGCGGCGCCGTTGACGGGAACCGCCGACATCCTGGCGCTCCTCTGGCGATCGGGGGCTCTGTAACGGGTCGGGCCTCCTCTGTTTCCTTCTCTTCCTCCGACTCTTCCTCCCTCACTCCCCTTCCTTCTTTCGGACATTCTCTCCAGTCGACGGCAAACCGCCAGCACGACCACCAGCGCGACCAACCGTAAGCACGACCACGAGCACGACCACGATCACAACCACCAGCGCCAGCACGACCGCCCACCAGCACCATCACTAGCACGACCGTCACCATGACCAGCAGCACGGCCACCAGCGCACGCACCATCCCCATTTTCCAACACGAGCACCAGCACGACCACCAGCGCGACCGCCAACACATCTGCCCTTCGTCATCCACCTTGCAACCACAACACCCCCCCCCCCAAAGCCGTCAAGCTCGTGACCCACTTCAAATCTATACCCAATTACACCTGAGAAAACCCAATCAGTGGATGATCTGAAAATTGTTGCTATGGATCTTGAGATCGATTGTGAGATCGATAATGAGGTCGATAGTGGAATCGATCGTGAGGGTGATTGTTGTGAAGTCGATCGTGAGACCGAGAGTGAAATCGATTCAATGAGATCGATGGTGAGATCGATCGGGGGATCGATCATGCGATCTCTAATGAGATTGCTTGTGAGATGGATCGTGAGATCGATGGTGAGATCGATAGAGAAGTGGGTAATGGGATCGATGGTGAGACCGATCGATAAGAAGATCGACCAGGAACCCGGGAACCTAGGAACCTCGCCGCCCTCCGAAATCGGCCCGGGAACTGGAACCGGGAACCTGGGAACCCGGAGCCCGGAACCCGGGAACCCAGCGTGCTACCAAAGTCGGGGGAAATGTTTGCCAAATCTTTCAATTTCCGCGAGGACCCCTTCAGTGCAAGCATTGATTGGGGAATAAAGCCACGTTGTTCACGAGCACACCGCATTCTGTCGTCCACATAGCGTGGTGGGACATCAGGTCCGCGCTCCTGTTCCAAGGATGAGGATGAGGGA